AGAGACACAAAGATCTCGCGCGACCCCCTTTTAGCAAGTAGCTATTAAAATGCACGAGGACTATTAGCACGCGGTGATATTTCAGTTTTGGTTGAATCGCTCTAATGACGACTGCCGAAAAGGGTTACTTTCGGCGAGATATTAAAATTCATAAATATACACAACTAAAACTGCTACGTCGGCGTACCATGTGTCGATTTTTACGCAGCGTCTTTTTGCCATATATAAAAATTAAAATTCATGACGCTATTGATCAAAAGTGTTACGCGTTAACGACATATCTATACAAAGATTTCGATTCTAAAGTTGATTAATTTTTTTCATCGTGAAAATTCCTTTTTTCAAATATGAACATAACATAAAAATATTTTTTAAATATTTAAAATATCATAATTTCTTTGCAAAAAAAAAAGATGTTTCGACATGTGTGTTAACGGGTTATTTAAAAAAATTATTAGCGTTTACAATTTCGAACGTCAATGTAAGATTCTGTACAATTTATTTTCGAGATAAATTATACTGGAGGTCGATTCGATTCGATTTAACTCACCTCACGCCAGGCTAAAAATGGAAAGTAGACGGAGAAGCGGGCGATAAGCAGTTACATAAGAATGCGTCCGCTGAATGAATTTCCTCGCGTTTACTGCATCACACTTACCCTCTTCGCGTTTTACACGGGTCGGTGCATCGATTAACCTGCATTACGAAGAGCTCGTTGCATGCTAGTCATGCACGCTGCATCGACAAGTCACGAGTACAATGTGTAACGCGGTGATTTCGAGGACGAGCAAAAGTTTATCTACCAAGTGTTCCGCACAATCTCGCAACACCTACAATCACCCTTTAGATATTCTCTATATTTTACTTTATATTATACACAATTTCAGTACATCTATTCCGTTAAAAAAAAGTCATAAAACTTTAAAAAGATGGCATCAGGCTTAGTTTTTAAAAAATTCTTGGTCATTAAATATAGAATCACTATTCTCTCATCCCGCCGATTCAGAGAACCAATCGCCTGGTGTCTTACACGTGGTCTAGGCTCATTAAGACGTACGAGAAATTGTAGCCCCAAGCATGCCCAAGATTCGAAAGCATCCTCATATAGCGGATGGACAATTTCAATACCGCTTGCACCGTTTCAATACCGCTCGGATCGTTGCGATCGTAGACATGCGTGTTCACCTGTTATGACTCAGCTGATCCTAGGTACGTTAGGCAAGTACACGGGGTTATATCGCCGTTCTCAATGCAGCTCGTAAGAAGGTAATCGTGGGATATTCGGGTCAATAGCCTCGTACGTCGCAGTCCGATCGTGGCACGAAGTGTGTCGGACGCGCCAACACGCGGGCGAAGGATCACAGATTTATCGCTCGCATCGATCATCATCGGACATGTGAGATTCGCGTCGCGAGCCGAATAAAAAATATATTAGATGAGCGAATCAAGTTTCTCGCATATGTATTGTTTTTATTCAAATTTTTATGCAAACTCGTCAATATATTATTTTTATAAATTACTTGGGAAACAAATTTTATTCAGCTAGATTAGATATATCATCAAATCTACTGTAAATAAATTTCATCATGGTATCATTAACGTATACAAACTATTCCGTGTTTTATTTCATTTGAAAGTAGAACGCGCTGAGATCTGTTCGCTCTCCTCTTTTTTTTTTTTCTTGCGAAGTAAAACGATTCCCTTGGAAACACGGCAAATCCGACAAAGGATCGGTCCGAAAATGTTGAAACCTTAATTTATATGCGATTTCGCGGTCGTTCGCATTCTCACAAGATCCCGAGAACCTTCCATGATACAAGGAACTGATTTCGATGCAGCTATTTCGTGACTGCTCTAGGAGACCGAGCCGCCTTCTTTCAAGACACTATCAATGTACACCGCTTCCGATGCAAAGAGAGCTTGATTTTTGGATTATTTTGCTACTTTGAACAAGATGAGAGAAGAAGAAAGAGGTACAATAAAGGGAGATACGCTAACGGCAGCCACCCGGGTCGAGAACGAAATACCGAGAAAGCAGATGCCGACCTCTATGTATCTCGTATCCGAAATTTACATTTAACCGGACCTGCTAGCTAGGTCGAATCTAATACCACGGGTCGGTGGAGTATTTATGGCAGTATTTATAGCGAGGAGACAGTGGAATACTGGTTTATATAACAAGCAGGCAGTACCGCCGCACGATGTATAGCTGAAGAAACACCAGCGACCGTGGCCTGGTAGTCGCGAACCCAAAGTAGTCACGACGATTCCAGCCATAATTTTCTCTTTGCAATACGCTCGTATTCAAAAAAGATTTTTAAAGGCGCTGAAAGTATAGCTATATGCGAAGAGATAAAACGAAGCTACTTATTATTCTTCGAGACTATGTATCGTTAAAAAAATAATTACAATGCATATTGATAAAGTTTCAGAGAAGATCCAACGGCAATGCCTTTTCCTGACGTTAGCTCTATCTTACGATAGTCTCACCGTGACTTGTAATACTCGTAACGAGTAACTTTGTCGGCGTGCGGATTTATCAGTTAGAAGTCTCTCTTCCTCTCTCCGATCCCTCGACGATTACATTTTTCATAGGTCGCGTAAGTTGGGTTAAATGAATCGTTAAATCCTCTCAATATTGTGACTTGCCAGAATAGAGCTGGATTTGCATAAGAGCTCGTTAGGTGCCACGAATGGTGACCCGTCTAATGCCGGGAATATTGTTATTCAAATAACCGCTCTAGGTACGACGACCCGTAAGCTCGATAATCCGATGATGATATATCGTATATTAATGACGAACGGAATATTATATGTAGATCGGATTATAGATAGAAGGGGCGTTAAATACCTATCCCACCATATACTAAATTAATGAGAACCGTGCCTGATCGATCGACTGTATCGATCTATTGCGTATGAAACGCGTCGATGGAACTATGCTGATAAAGCAGTCGAATTCACGAGAAATCGAATTAAATTTTGTCGAACGACACGCGATTCTTTCTGTCGTGTAAGAGGATCGATCGTAGAGTTAAGCTCCTCCTGAAGTGAGCTTAACTCACGCCCGACACCATTGTAATCTAATACGTTACATTGTGCTCTATGCTGTATTGAATTGTGACACATTGTACACGTATTGCGTTACCTAATACATTGCCCTGATGTTTCCAACGACCAGCGGATTATTTAAGATGATAAAAATATGGAATAAATAACATTGCGAATCGAAAATCATGAACTAACAAAACTCGTCGCGAATATAAATATATAATGTCATAACATATAAATTCAAAGTGTACGTATTGTGTAAATATTATAATAATATTTCGTGAAATTTTTTCGCAGCTTTCTTCGCCTCAAATAAAAACGTTAAATAAAAATGAAATTAATGCTAATCAGTACGTACAAGTACGCAGAAACGATCCAATATGCAATTCAAGCTATCCATTATACTTACGAGCGGCCCATAAAACCACATCATAGCACGCGCGTTTACGAGAGCCGGGCCGAATTTGGGCATGTAAATCGCAACGACATTTTTACGATGCCCTGAACTACGCATACAGACTTCGGGAATCGGGAGGGTGACACCGTAAAAATTCCCGTGTCACGGCACACGTGTCGCAGGAAGGCCCCTCTCTACGGCCAGAAAACACGGAGAATCCGTTTTTCAGTCGTTGATATGTTGCCTCACCTGCCGGCAACCTTTTTTTTACCAAAATCTTGCCGCTCAAACGATCGGCGGATTCGTTTAATTAGACATTTAATGCCTGAAGGGGTGCCTATTTTTGCAGCGTGCATATTTTATGAATCACTTTTTATAAAGCAGTCACGCCCATTGAGCTACACGTATACCTGTCGGCACGATAGTTTTCCTGCCAATGATTTTTCAATGCGATATCTATTTATGCAAAACTATTCTCGATATACATAGTTGAAATCTCTCTTATATTCTTATATTTCTCTTATATTTTCTTATATTCTCTCGATAATAAAATAAAACAACTTACTCACCGGTACGATGCGCTGCAGCGGAGTTGTCGTTCTTTGTCGGTGTTGTTGATCTGTAAAATAAAAAAGCAAATCAAGATTAGTGTACTGTCCAAAATAATTAAATTGTTATTAATAAAATAATTACGCGTGCATTGAATTTTCTAATATGCATATGCATATCTAAACAAAGAATTAAAATTTTCAAAAATATATTTTTTGAATAAAGAAAAAGTTTAATTGATTGAAATAATAAATATGTAAAAAATTTTTAAGAATATTAACTATTGTAAAAATGTTTTATTAAATATTTAAAGTATTTTAAATATTTTATGTGCGAATAACAAATAACAAATAAATTATTAATTACTTAAACGTTGCTCCGCCGGCGCCCGATGCTCCTCCTGAGCCTCCTCCTCCTCTCAGTGGTCCTTCGAAGCACTCACATTGAATCACACGCGTTCGCGGCGCATGCATTGCTCGCATGCGTACCTGAATACGAAAATCGCGCGATACTTAAAACGGCACTCCCGACATCACAGGCGAATCGAACCGAATTGTCCAAGCTGTGACGTTACGCGCGAATTCCGTCCGCGTTTCAGACGACCACATTTACCAATTGGGGCACGATTCTCTCAAAACAGAAGGCAAAGATAAGCTCAAAGAAGATGAGGTGATTAGTCATCCAATCAACCGACTAGATACAAGACATCTGAAAAGCAATCGGTAGCGTTTGACTAACTCCGGTAGCCGTCCTCGACTACCTTCGACAGTCCGGCTATCTGTACAACTAGCGCGCTGCACGTAGAACCGAAGATTGCCCTGCCGTAGTCGAGATTTTATGATTGAAACCGACCTTTCCCTCCCCCGAGCCAAGCCTAAAGTACAAAAAAAATCGTGTCCCAATATTTGTCATACAGCAAAAATGCGTTCATCTATAGATTCGCTATAACTCTCGGCATTAACGGCACTCCCGACGCGCATTTTGTTATACTATACGACGGAACGAATATATTTTGTAGCACCGATTACGCGCACAAAGTTGATCTGCAAAATAAAAAAGTAAATCCAGATTAGAGTACTGTTCAAAATGGTTAATATTTGTGAAATAATTATTGCGCACATTGAATTTTATATTCGTTTATCTATGCATACAGAATTAAAATTTTTAAAGACTTAAAATTTCAAAATATAATTTTAAAAAAATTTATTAGTTGAATAATAATAAATATATAAAATATTTCTAAGAATGGTGAATATCAACTATTGTAAATGTTTTACTAAATGTATAAAATATTTTAAGTATTTTATGGGCGCTACATTATATTAATATTTTAGATGCAATATTTTGTGCGAATAAGAAATAAGAAATAAATGATTAATTACGCAAACGTTGTTCCCCCGCGCCCGATGCTCCTCCTGAGCCCCCTCCTCCTCTCAGTCCTCGCAGTGCAAGGCACTCACTCGTGTTCGCGTCGCACATATGAAAATCGCTCGATATTTTAAGCGATACTCCCAACGCGTCCTTTGTCATTTTAAGACAAAGATGTAACTGAAATATTATTGCACGGACTACGTGTTCGACACTCTCCGCGATAGATTAGACAGAAAAACATGATACGGAAAACTATGAGAAATAATAATGGTATTATTGAAGACGATAACGCGCGCCGATACACATTTACCTCGTATAAGTGCCGCCGTGCGAATAATAATGGTACAATGAGAAACACAAGGTCGTGCCGATTCCGACTTAAAGGAATGCGAGAAGTGGGGGCCACAATGTTTACGTTGATACACGAACGCGCGCGCGAGAGAGAGAGAAAGAGGATGTGCGCGCATACTAAGCGTAACGACGAAAACAACCCCAACGAATCGGTTTCGAATAAATAAATGTTTGATAATTGCTCTGTTTCGAAACCAACTATCGAAAGAAAATTAACCCGTATACTTTATACGAATTAACATCACGAATTTGACACGCTACGGTACGTGAAACGAATACAAGTTAAACGTACTTTGTGCCGCGACACATCCATACATATAATTATAGTATAAAACGATATAAATTTAACAATTGATTCTACAATGTACACTCATAATAAATAAAACAAATAATGATAGTCTTGCCTAAAAATAAAAGCCATTATGTACGCGGATACGTACGCGGGTGTTGTGTGTGCGTGTGCGTGTGTATGCACGATCATTACTCGATATAAATCCGACGTCCTGAGTTTTCTGCAAGTTACACCTAAAAAAATACATTACATTTTAATCTTTCTGAGCAATTGTAGCGATCATTTTGCATGTCTAAAATTGTTGTGCATTAAAATCTGTACTTACTGATATTCTAACCTGCTTCAATTCACGGACCAGACAATCGATGAAACGTAGTTAATTATGAATATTCGCGATAAATACATACCTCTCAACAATCGCCCGTCACTTTAATCGACACTCCCGACAAAAGTTTGCGATTTTATGCACATTTATTACGCAATTATTACGGATAAAATATGCGATTAAATAATTTACGTTTTTACTTTGCATTCCGTTGGGCGCGAAAAGAGTGAGCGGAAAAGATGTCACTCACTCTAGCGATCAATAGAGCAATACGCGTAACAGTCGGTAGGACACATGCTCCTCTACCGGCCGCTGCGAGCTTTAAAAACATCGCAGAGCGTGAATGTGTTTCACGAAGTGTCGATTCTAATCGCGTTTTTTATCCGCAATAATTACATAATAAGAACGCATAATTTTTTAAAAATTTTTGCCAGCAGTGCCGATTAAAGTAACGGGCGATTGTTGGAATGTATTATTTACCGCGGAAATTTGCGATCAACGATGTTTCCTCGATCGTTTAGCGGTCGATGGATTGAAGAGGTTATGATTGCAGTGAGTAGAGTATTTTAATATGTAAATCATCTATAAATTTCGCTCAAGAGAAATATAATGTATTTTCCATTAGAGATGTAGCGTCTATTCAAGAATTTATTTTGGGTAAATGTAATTTACAAGTCACGGGCGACCAGAGAGATGCATTGTCGTACAAAATTGCAAAAATTTTTGACAATTTGAAGCGTACGTATTACATCTAAATACCATACACATGTAGTTATATCTTTAATTATTAGAAATGTGCAAAAACTTAAACATATGATTAAAAAATTAAATAATGCCCTCTGCAATACATAAATTAATAAAAATATAACTGTTGCTTTTTTACTAACTCATAATTCGTTAATATAGCTAACAACTATTATTCAGGGTATTAAAATATAATAAAATTGCATTATAAATATCACAACATTTTTTAACAAAGTTATTAAATTTTTAATTGTATACTGCACATATACATATATGTATATATGTATATATATATGTATATGTGCAGTATATATATATATATATATATATACATACATACATACATAATATATACATGCATAAATATATAATTAAACAAAAATAGATTTTGATTTTTTTATCACAAGGGATGATTCTTGTTTCATAATTTGGAATAAACAGTAAACTTTATCTTTTATTTAAACATTTTTGGAAATTGGGACATTTACGATAGATTTAATGTATTATTAATGTCTTAAAAAGTATTAAAATATCTAG